GCTAAAAGACTCTGTAACTGTACGAGCACTTTGTAATGTTAATTGTTCTTTGTGCATTTTCTCAAGTCTGACGACGACCTGGGGATCCAATATCAAAAATTTACCGAAAACTTGTTCCTAATTTTTTCTGAAAGGACGCCTTTTCTCGAAAGTGCACTAGATTCCCTATCGCACGAAAGTTCAACCGAAATTCTGAAAGGTGTGCTCGATTCGACTTAAATGGCATTGTAATATTGATTATCGTACGGCTTATTTCAATAACTTTTTGCCTCGCCAGGTTGTCGGCTTTTGAACAAGCACAGTTCTGACCACCTGCGAAAAGTATACTCTATAAAAAAGGAAAAATTAATTAGTATGTATATTTCTCAGTATTTTAGATGCTCTTGTAAATTCAAGTATGTTTTATACTTTCTTGTATTCATTTAGTAAAAACACATGTGCCTTTTCAAATGTTATACTGAAAGAAAGGGTATCTTTCCGTTAAAAACGTTTCTAAATCGTTGAATAATTTTGAACTTGCATTTAGGCCCTCCAAACTACATGCTCTATACACTCTGCCTTGGGATGTGTAGAAGAAGTCATATAGTTCTCCTAAAATTTTGCTATATATGAGGAATGAGTTATATAATTTATAAGCAGCATCAACAAATGGGTCTTAACCATCGCATAATTAGAATTTTTTAAGCTGGAACCCATCTTTTCCTTTCAAGTATGAAATTGGAGTAAGGCGTAATGTTGCTATGAAACGAGTACAAGAAAGGAAATTTTTGTGCATTTTTCAAATAAAAAATATATTTGAATTTATAAAAGCAGTGAAAATGAATTATAAAAAATGCATAGTATTTAAGTAGCCGTTTTTGTAGAATAAACTTTCTGAAAATGCTAAAAAAAATATTGCATGGTTTACCATATTACCACCATAATTAATTAATATCTTCGAATCAAAAAGACTTTTGAGAATTTTAGTTTGCATTTCTTGAGATTGGGAATTCGCTCTATCTGTTACCAGTAAAGTTAATTGTTACTAAAAAACAGGCATCTCACCGGACATATCGTCTTCTACGGAAGTAGACAGCGAAGCCGAAATAATACTGTTGGTTTCTTCATCACCACGGACTTTTTCGAGGCGCAGTCGACGGATTTGCATCTGAGAGTAGGTAAGAACGCATGGGGCGATTGTGAGGACAGGAAGGTCTACTTTTGGTGGTTAACAGCTTAACTCGGAAACAAGCCTACAAGAAGCTGAGTTGCATTACAAGAACAGCCATACACCTCGCAGTTTACGAGGTTATTAAGCTAAAGTACACCTAAAGGCATAATTATTAGGAGAGTTTGGCAGATTTTAGTAAGTTTGAAAAATTATTGGCCTCAGCGTGATTCGAACCCACATCAGCAGCGAAGACTTTTGAGCAGCCAACACTCTACCATTGATCTACGAGGTTCACGGCAAGCCGTAGATTTAATCATACTTGGGTCAAGGCCGCGAAATTTTCACAATTGGGTCAACCGAATTAAGCAAACATGCCAACCCTCTCCCCTCCCCTAAAGATTATTATTATTGTTGGCTTAATTGATGTGAGGCGCAGAAATTATTTTGGTCAATATTAATTTATAGATAATTCATTTTATTTAAAGAAAACAGGACCTATTTGTGCGAACTATTATGTTTCGAGCAATCCAGAACATTTCCAACTGTGTTTACTACCAACTGAGCTACGAAGGCACGTTGAAACCTTCCCTGCTATGCGCGTTCGAATCGCACTAAATAAACACACAAATACTGGCTAGTTACATTCAAATATTAGATTATTAATCACTTCCACACGCTGACGCATGCGACAAATCGGTCATTTTGTGTCATAGGTACGGAACTTTTTTGAGAAGAGGAGAGGCCAGTGTTGCGTTGATATTTCACACTGTAATGCAGGCGTATGTCAATGCCGTTGCATCGTGATGATGACAATACAAAAGTTCGAACGTCTTTCACTGCGTACCCAATAGAGTAGGCACAGCTCCCTTGACTTGCATTAGAAGTAAGTTTTAATAAATGCAGGCTTGCCCAATATCCCCCATATTCCCGCCCCCTCGCCCGGCCTGTCATGCTTCACTGGCAAGATAACAATAAAAATTCAGAAGGTGGACGAGAGCGATAGTTGTCTTCGCTACTTTCAACGGCTAACATCAGATCCGGCTGGCTTTTTTCGAAAATAAAGCAAATCGCTAGAATGAATATCAGCACGGCGTCCCAGACTCCTATAAAGATCACGCAAGCCAGGCTGATTAGAATTTCCATTTGGAATTACGGAAGAGCTACCGTCCGAGTTCATCCTTTGTAAATACTCGTCTGGATGCTGTACCACAAACAGCCGCAACGTGTGTTTGTTCCGTAAGTGATACATACCTATGGACTAAGCTAAAAAAAAAGGGATGCATCTATCGCAGTTCCTAGAGCTAATAAATCCAGAGGTCATTTAAACGCACCAGAGATTCTAGTACATGCACTAACCGCTAACTGTAGATGGTAAACTAAAGGAACTGGCGATATTTTAGTAAGGTGTGGCCAGAGCGAGCGGGTTGCCAAAAACCTAATTCTCATTCAGTTTGAGGATAAAAATGCAGCTTCTTGAATTAAAAAATCCTAAATTAAGCTTGATAAGTACGAAAAACGATGAAGGCATATAAAATGGATTGAGCGAGGAGGCATCTTTCTTGTTCCTTTTATGAGCGGCAAATGTGTTGTCCGAAAACAGAAACTAGGGCTCACCTGTAGCTTAAGTTTGCTGGTAAAGAAAACTCGTTTCCATCCGAAAATGCGAGCCAGCTCTTGTATGACGTCGTTTAGCTTACCAGGATGGTGTTGAAGATACATGCGTTTCCAAATGCTTTCATCGTTACAAACCTATCAGGTAATAATTACAGACGTTCGAGAGTCCTAATTACTTACCTCTGCAATACGCTTGCATGTGCATTCGAGATTCACTAAATCTTCCAACTTGATCATTTTTGCTATTCGCTTCAGAATGACTGGTGGCATTCGCGGGAGGAAATCCAACTGTCCAGCAGCAACATTTAAGCAGAAATCAAGCGTTCTTTTGCCCAGAATTTGTTTTATTTCCTCTTATTAGAAAGTGCTGGAAATTCAGTTAAGGGACCTACTTTGCATTTTATCATCCTGCAGAAATTCTTCATACGTGTCCGAGGCTTCACCGGGACTAAATTTGGCGGCCTCATTCCGTGGCGTAATACGCCACCATCTCCAAATTATCTAAAACAAAAAGGCACTCTAAGTAGAGAAAGCTAGGAAGCATAAAAGCCTCGTTCATCAACCTTGGGAGGCCCGATTCTTCTGTTTAGTTCCAGCGCCAGTTTTTTTATTCAAATACAATACCCCATAGTTAATAAAGTGAGTCTCATGGCCGATTGAAGTATCCTGAATTAGTTTAATTAGATGGAATTTTGTGACGTTTCATTTTAATTAGTTGATGTACCTAAAACTTGACTGTCATTTTAACAAAATTTTAATGTGGTTCTGAGGAGTTATCTAATACATGCATCAGACATATTTATAAATTATACCGAACCACTGCATGCCTTACATTAAAAGTTGGAGGTCAAAAGTCCACAAATGATTGGCGAAAAATTCGCCTTCTGATGAAGTGTGTACATACTTCTGTTTTTATAAAAAGCAGGTGGCTGGTGGACTTATTCCACATTGGACTAATTTATTAAATCTGTTCAAAATTAGGAGTGTGCTAATCACCTATAAAAGAATGCTGCTGTTGCGCCGTCCCATATATTGCTTTTCGCATTTAGATTATTGAGTCCTTTGAAGTACAAGTAGATCTAACAGTTCAGTTTACCTGTCATAGACGTTCTCGGTTTCACGTATATGTTTCGAAAACAAGTGTACTTTTAATTTTGATACTTTTTCTTAGTTTATTTAACAAATTTTCCTTTGATTTTCATTGCGTGTCTACACTTATGCAGTTGGACCGGTTTGAGGGTTATTAAGACAACAAAGCGGAAGCAATCGAAATAAAAAGCTATAGGGACTATATTCCTTAGAGGCTATTTCATTGGTAAACCCATACCGAAGACAACTGACTGATAATAGGACAACTTGAAGACTCTAAATAGAAAAAATGAAGGACTTCTTTATTTTCAGAAGATAACAGACAGAGGTACGAAAGTTTGGGAATAAAATTTATGCTCGAAAATCACACAGAATAATGAACCAAAACATAACACGGTCATTCTCTCTTATTTCAATCTAAAAAAATTCGCGTCTTGCCCGTTGCTGTAATCGCAAGTGAAGTCAAATAGATATATTAGCTAGCCACATTTAGGCTGAAAATATTTCTTTACAGCTCAAGAATCACAGCGCATTTGTGTAAAATCCTAAGCGATCGAAGGCTATTTTCTGGGTGAAAATGCATGTTATTTCTTAAAAATACTGATCCGAAAAATTGCTAGACTTCTTCTTAAGAATATATATAAGCATATCATTGACAAAGGGGAGCGAGACTTGAATGTTCATTTATGTTTTATTAGCCACCACCAGGCAGCCATACCCAACTCCGGGTACTGCACCACGCGATGCTCGAACCCGCAACTTATTAATTTGAACTAAAACGCTTTAACAATTGGGCCACAAGATCTTTGTCTTTTCAGCTTATATCGGGAGAAGTTGCATTAGCGGGAAGGTTAAAAAGCCAAAAATGTGCATTTCACTCCATCTTGTCTGCGTTTGTAAAAATCCGTGTATGCCACGTGTCATAATTGTATGATACCGTAATTATAATTAATAATTCTAATTACGACTTTTGTATAAAATATTTGTAATATATGGCTTTGCTGGCTCAAGACAAAATAAGCATGATAACTAATATCTAAGTCTTTTCATTGCCTTTCACAAATGCACGAGGAAAACTTGGAAGTGAAGTCTGGAAATGGACATCATTCATCTATAGATATATGGAATACGCACCTTGGTTTTAGTAACACTAAGATAATAGAAGTCTTTATGAGGTGAAGGAGCTACTGCTGTAAATTGCGCAATGGTATCATCTTTAAAAACCTCATAGTATTGGAAAGTTGGACTTTCATAGAATCTCACAGCGGCCGTCATTTTAAATATATTTCCCAAAAATGCCATAGCAACCACTTTAAAAGTCAAATCGTATCAAGGTTACTCATATTTCAGATATATAATTTAGACCACCGAATCACCGATTTATCCTTATGTATGGGAAGAGCCATAATGCTTGCAGTTTTTGGGCTATCTTCTGTTGTTTATTTCTTAGTCTCTTCAGATATCATCGGCAGAATGCCTATCACGAAAGGTTCTCCGATTGACTGGTACTGAATTTTCATAGACAAGCTGTTGAGAAGTCAACTGTCGATTTCAACGATGTCCAGCATGCGCTCTACAACGGGGTCGTGCACGAATGGTAAATTATTTATGAATTACTTTAAGTGATAGTAGACACACGCAGATCTACCAAACTCCCTCTTCCCTCACAAATCTGTGCCCGGTGGCATCACCAAGTCAAGAAGACGAGAGGCAGGATCGGGCGCAGGTAGCTGGCGCGACCGAAACAGTCCCTATGACAGCCGCCGCACTTTATTATCATCCCAATTGAGT